TTATTCAGGCGGGATCATTTCTACGTCTACCAGGTATGCAGTTGTTATTAATGCTCATCATATTATTTTCTGTGTTCATAGTGGACGATCAACGTTTAGTTCCCGATCGTCGCCTGGTGGGGTTCAAGGTTCCGTTGAAAACGGGTTTCGTACACTGTCCAAGCGTCTAAGCGAAGAAGAGGAGACACCAGTTAGGAGGTCACCACCGAGGTTCGAAAGAGCTTCTGCTTCAGCTCCGCAGAGAAGGCTTGGTGAAATGGTGGCAGAGAAACCTCAGAGAAGGCTCAGTGATGTTGGGACAGAGAAACCACCGAGAAGGCTCAGTGACCTGATGACAGAGAAGCCACCAAGAAGGGTCAGTGAACTGATGACGGAGAAACCACCGAGAAGGCTTAGTGAACTGGTCACAGAGAAAGCAGAAAGAAGATCCAGTGAACTGGTGACGGAGAAAGCTGAAAGAAGGCCCAGTGAACTGGTGACGGAGAAAGCACAGAGAAAGCCTAGTGAACTGGTGGCGGAGAGGAGGCCCAGTGAACTGGCGAGGGAGAAACCACAGAGAAGGCTTGGTGAACAAGTGGAGAAACGACCAATTTCTCTGGTTAGAAGAGTTACTCAACTGGTAAATGAAACAAAATCACCTCAAGAAAAGAAGTTGGTTTCAACAATGGAGCCTGCAAGGAGGACCATACGGCTAAATGCAGAGAGAAGAAGCCAGCTGATATCGGAAAGGACAGCCGACAGAGTAGAGAGGAGATCGGAAGTGACTGTAGAGAGACGACAAGTATCTTTGAGAGCTGCGGACATGGAATTTGAGCAAGATGATGAAGAAGAGCAACCGGCAAGGGATTCAAATGAGAGGATTGGCCAGCCACGGCAACTTACGAGAGCACCTTCGCTTTCGAAGTCGGAGGATAGACCAAAGTTCAAGCAACAGGATAGCGGTGCCAAGGATGACTTGAGGATGAAAGTCCTTGAGAAGGTCTCTGCTAGATGGAAGCTCCATCTTCGCATGGATGATGCTCATGCAAGGAGGAAGAGGGAAAATCTTAGCAAACCAGATCAGAAGGACAACGAAGAAGGAGCTGGCGGGTATCATAATAGTACCGTCCGTGACACACAGACGGCGTACGCTTCAGAAGAATTAGAAGACGACAACAGGAGAGAGAGAAAAGAAGAAAGAAAGCGAAGACACAAGGACAGGAGGGAACGGCGGAGACTAAAGTCTGAAGATGAAGATGCAAGGGATTGCGATGATTATTATCAGGAAGTGGACGAACGCTGGCAAATGGAAGATGCAGACTTTACTGGGCATGAATGCAGAGATGATCGTAAGAGAAAACGGAGGAGATATGACGATGTGTTAGGGGTGGAGGAAGACGAGGTGAGTGACCTCTCTGAAAGACGGTCGCAGAGGTACTCCGACTCGAGGTATAGGAGAAGGGATTATAATGACGATGGAGCTGACGGTTGGGAAATGGAAGAAGGAGAATGTGAAGAAGTTGTGTACGTCGAAGATGTAGAATGTGAGGACGACAGATGGGAAGATGATGGCTACACGTACAAGCGGAAGAGACGAAGATACAATGACGAGGTAATTGTGTTACTGTGTTATAGATTTCTTATGCGACCCTGTTGCTTTTACAGTTGTTTGAGATGGACCGTGACTATGAGACTGATAATCCTGGGGACGAGCGAGACTATTCGTATGACGAGTCTCCATCTGGTCAAGCGGACGATTTAGTTTACAAGAGGCAGGAAAACCCGCGCCACCGGGAAACTGATCGCTGGACCGGGACTCTCGATGATAGCTGTGACGAGTATGACGAGTATGACAACTGATTTAAACGACTTTGTCGTCGCGGGTTTGTTCGTCGGCGTCTGACAAGGTACGTGAGAAGAATGTATTTTGTATTTCAGATGGCCCGTTTTCCGAAGCAGAAAAGGCTGATCGGCACACTAGAAGAGGTGTTGTTTACTTGTCTCCGTTTGACATGTTATCGATGAATGAACTTCTGCAGGTATTTGACTGAGCGTTTGGAAGCAAAAGCGGAGTTCTCTTTTCCTCCGGGCGGAACACGACGGTATGCATGTCCCAAAACCCCTCTAGTTTGCTGGCATATGACACGTTTTCTTGTGGCAGCATGTTCTCGGAAGAATGTAGTGGACATTGAAATTAAGCAATAAAAAAAGCTTTTGAGTTGAAGAGCTCGTGTCTTGTGCCGCACACAAAATCAACGTGATTCTTGGTTCAGAGAATCGGATTCTCACTCAAACAGACCGTGACATTCCTGACAGCAGGAGTTACTCTTGCAAAAATGCAGCAGATTCATCTGCTACAGCCTACTCTACAACTCGGGTAACTCTTCCTTTCACTTATAACATCTGTTCTTGGTATGATGCTGCTGTGGATGCCAGGGACGCAGCTGCCATATCAGACAGCCTTGCGATGAACGTTTCGAAGTTGCCCTCCCTGTCCAACATGCTGATTCTCACGTAGTCTGGCCCAACTCCAAACTGCACACCGCTCCTACTGAGGACGCCTCCCAGCTTGAGCACTTCCTTGCAATCACTATCCCTGTTGCACTGGAGCCACGCAAATGCTGCAACAATCAACAAGTGAGTGATAGATAATTTCTTTTTCTGTAATGCGGCTGAGTGGTATTCCATGCCCTACGCATGAATGCCAGTATTAATGTTTTTTTTCCCATGAAATTGATGGCAGGTTGATGGGGAGAGGAGGTATGGGGAGAGTACCGCGTCCAGATCAGGTGGTTGGTAGTGCACAACAAAAACAATGGAAATGCAGCCCCCAAAGTCGTCTCTAACACCAAACTACAACAGCAGCCATTCGACTCGAGATAAGCGCTCGCTACTCCGAAAAAGCCAACTCGCAGGTGGATACTAGACAAGTGGAGGACCGGGATCTAATGAGCGGCTGGAGCACATCATGCGCCGAATCATTCGAGTTGGGGGAACTGCCGAAGTGGAACAGGCAATGATGCAAGTGCAAGTGTGATGGAATTTGATATCTGCTGCCACCAGACGGGGGTGACGGACTAAAGCTAAAGCAGAGGTGGCTAGAGGTACAAAGAAGCAGTAGAGGTTCATACCTGGATGAGGCGATGTGACTTGGCCGAAGAAGGCGCAGAAAGCTGGGGAGAATTCTGGCAGGCTGAACCTGTCACTGACTTTCACGGCCTGCTGCAAGAGATCCCATCTCCTGCTCATCTCCGAGTAGCCAAAGTGGAACAGTCGGCCCGACTTGACGCAGTGGTCCTGGCACTCACTTTCATATGGCCGGGAAGTAACAGCGGTGGGGTTGTAGCCTCTGACAATGGATTTGAGGATCTGTGCGGCACGTAGCTGAGAATCGTGGGACACTCCAATGGTGTTGAGCTCGATAAACTTCGCCATGTTTTGAGCCACTTGAGCGTCCTTGACAATGGCCCATCTGGCAGGAATGAAGAAAAGGAGATAAAGTCGGTCCAAGGAAGAAGAAACAGGAGGAGGAGGAAAGGGGAATGATTCCCGCAGCAAAATCTCGCATACCCGATTCGACTGCCTGCATGTCCAGTGCACTTGGAGACAGTGAACAGCATCATGTCGTGCTCCGCAGCAGCAGTGATGGGGGTGTAGTGAGGCCAGTAGTAAGCGAGATCGTAGATAACAGGACCGCTGCCTTGCACCACGGCATGCTTCATGGAGCCGTCGGGATTATTTGGAGAAGTCACCAGTTCTATGTACGAAGAGGAGGAGGAGGAGGAGTCTGCGGGATGGAAGTTTGCAGCGTCGCCGGCCCACTTATGGATACCAGACTTGAGGTAGTCCGTGAGCACAGGATACGACTGCAAAAAAGAAGAAAAAAAAAAGCAAACTTTGGAGATGAACCGAGCTGAGCTTCTTTACCGAGTAGTAGGGAACGGCCGAGACGACACTGGCCGGTTGAGCTCCATCTCTGGGCGAGACAGCATATAATGCAGCTTGGAAGAGCTGGGTGGATCCAGTGCCGACGACGATGAATCGGCCATCGGTGACCGCGTTTCCAACGAGCGAGTGAAGCTGCCGGATTTCATTCTCGAGCTCCTGCTCCACGAACCAGAGGAAGTGCTTCCGGCTCGCAAAGTAGCTCATCTGCTCCCAGCCGAGGATCACAGTGGTGCAGCTGTCTCCATTGGCGCGCCAGTACGCCTCGAACATGGTCGGATCGCCACTGCGAGGGGGTAAGAACAGAGCAAAGAGAGTGAGAAAAAGTCGAGCTAGACTTACTGATCCAGATTGACAGGAAGATGCTGCTGCTGCTGCTGCTCGGACGAGGAGGACGACGAGGACAAGGACGACTTGTTGGTGATGGAATCATGGGCGGAGGAAATCTGGGAGGGGGGACAGGACTGCGGCGAGAAAGCGTTGAGGTAGCACGATGACTTTGCGGCATTCTTTCGCTCCAGCGGCTTGAAATCTATGGCGAAGAAGACGAGCAGCAGAAGATTGAGGCCGAGCGACGCGAGCAGGAGGTGGTGGTGCGGCTGGTGGTGATTTTGGTGGTGGTGGTGGTGGTGGACTCCATTGGCGGCGGTGGTGGTAGTGGTGGTGGTGGCAGCGGTGGCGGAGGTCTTTTGGTCGCCGCCGTCTTGCATTGCCGCGCAGGGAAATGGGGGAAAAAGGATGGAGGAGGGAGGTCAAGACATTCCAACACAGATTTCCACACAAAGATCCTTAAAAACACATGCACACACATGCAGCGCAAATCATCCTTGCATGTATGATAAAATTTTGGGCGAGAAAAATAAAACTTTGGCCGATGTATGAATGATTGCTTGCATCACCATTGGCCATGTCACACCACTTCCCACACCGCGTGACGTGGCCGTTTTTAATTCGTGCGGGGTCCCCATGGACTATAGTTGTCCTGTGGTCCAAGGGGCTCGGGTACATTCTAAAGGATATTCTTTTCCGGGGAGATCCTGGGATATTCAGTCTTCAACGGTCATGAGAGGCTAGGGTTCTTCGTATTTTTCTCCTCTGGGCGAGCGATCTTGGGTTGGGTTCTTCCAGATCTTGGGTTCGGTTCTTCCAGATCTCTCCTCTGTCGGCTCTGTGATCGGATGTGTCTGCTCTTGGATGGCAATCACAGTAGGGATTCGAGTAGAGCATCTCGCGGTTGCTAATGTGTACCCTGGCGCTGTGGCTCCGCTTGGCGATCGCTCCAAGCTGATCCTGGCGCCCAATCTGCTCTACAATGGCAGCGTGAGGAGCACACTCAAGGAGTTTGTGAGGGACAATCTCTTTTTTGGAGAGGAGCAGCAGCAGCTTGTGGCGCCGCTCTTCACGAGGCTGAGTGAGAGTGTGCCAGTGGAGGAGGTTTACAAGAGGTACGCTTGCCAGGCTGATAGAGACGAGTGTGAGCTCTTTGTGGACGAAGAGAGTCTCACATTCTTTGGGAGAGAGGCTGGGAAGACTGTCGATCTTCCGGACGATGCCAAGCTCCACGACTACAACATTCTCGACAAATCCATCGTTGAGCTCCGGGTATGTTCGTCTTTCTCCTTTTCCTTGGTTTTTGGAACTTGGTTCTTCGCTGACTTTGGCCGAAAAAATAACTATATTCCAGAAAGCTCCCCAGCTTCTTTCGGGAAGAGGTGGTCGCTTGTTCGTGGAGACCAAGGATGGGATTCTGCCTTTGCAAGGCATCTGTGGTGATACGCGCGTGTCAGCTCTCAAGGATGCCATAGAAAAGCACACGGGCATTCTAAAGTCACGGCAACTTCTGTCCTCCATCGGCTGTGTCATGCACGATGAGTTTTGCATCAAGGATTTCGATGGTGTTCATGCAATCTACGAGGATAGCATTGTGGACTTGACTGTATCAGGTATGTTGTACTCTCGTCTTCCTTTTTCTCGTCCTGCTAAGCTTTGTCATCCATTCAGGGGATACGAACAACGAGCAAGCACACAGGCGTATGCTCGTTACTGTCAATGTGCTGGGACACGAGGAGTTTCGCTTGATCGTCCAAGGCCGGGACCGCGTGCAAGATGTGACGAACATTGTTGAAGCTCGTACGGGGATTCCGCAATGGCAACAGCGCATCAGTTTCTCAGGTTGCTTTCTAGTTCGCTTTGTGTGCTGTTGTCCTCACGCCTGTGCTTTCTATATTCCGTTGTTCCAGGCAACACTTTGCAGGACAAGAAAACGCTGGCAGAATACTTCGTTTGCCCTCAGTCTACTCTACAGGTTGCTCCTTTCAAAAGTCCCTTGAAGTCGTCTTTCAAGGCTGGAAAGCTTTTTCACGCAGCCTCGGAGAACAGGGGTAAGTACCAAACTGGACTTGATCCAAGTTTTTGTCGGCTAACTCCACTCTTGTTCATGTGATAGACGGCGATCCCAGCTACACTCCAGCTGCAAGGAAGCTGAAGATGGTGCGTACTTGCAAAGGAGTTGTGGCTGGAACTATAACCATTCCAGTACTAACATCAGACACGGTCGGAGACCTGCGGAGGAAAGTGAAGCGCTCGCTCAGGCCGCTGGAGGAAACCAACTTTTCGATTGGAACTCCTCCCAGGAACAGCAGTGCCAGCGTGAACTGTTTGACTGGACCGAGTCCTCTGAAGCCACGGCCCGCAAACAGCGCTCACAAACTTCCGCCGCCACCACTAGCTGACACACCCGAGAGGTTTGAGACACCCCGTGCTCGTCTTCCTGCGTCCCCTCAGACTCCACAGAGCTGCTACGTGACGCCACCAATGTCACGGTCCAAATCCCGCAGCGCCGCTGCTGGTGCTGGCACGATGGAATCGCCGGCTCGAGGAAGCAAGTCAGGTGCTCGTCGTTTGCTCAAGTTTGGCGGAGGAGGAGGCTCACCTCAACAACACCACCAACAACGCAGGGGTAGTAACCAGGTGGTGGCCAGCGACGAGAACAATGGTAGCTCCGTGGAGGACAAGATCAACAAGGCCCTCGTCCACATCGTGAGCAGCACCGGCGTGGTGGAGAGCGCTGCTGCTACTGACCAGAAAAAGGGGATGGGAGCTTGGCTCAAGCAGATAAGAGCTGCTTTGCGCTGAGCGACGAGAACGTATCACCCACTCTAAAGCCAACTTACTACGACTACTACTACTAAACCAGCAATCTAATCAACGAAACCAATCATCGGAACTAAAGTCAACTTCCACTTCGAGGTAACAAAGTTCTTCCATTCTTTCTTTTAGAGACTTGCTTGATTCTACCAGGACTGCCGCTGGGATCTTGGAACGCAACGAGAGAACGAGAAGAGCACACAGACAGACAGGCAACAGGACCATTTGTGTCAATGTTGGTGGGTTCTTTCTTTCGGCCATGGTGGTTACTGTACAAGTCTTCGGCTGGTTAAAGTCTACACCTGACACTCGCGTTAAAGGAGAGAGTGTGGCGCGGCTCGTTGGGAGAAGCTTCCGCGATGAGGGAGCTGCTTGTCTGCTTCTGGATGAAAATTCCCAGAGCCTCGCGCATCCAATTGTGGTGGCACCGCTCCAGCGTTATCTTCTCGATCTCGTTGAGGTCAATCTGGGTGAACAGAGAGTGGTGGTGGTAAGTAAGCTATGGAGTCTTTTTCGTCTTCTCTTCTCCACACAGAGAGAGAGAGAGAGGAAGAGAGATCTGGATTGCGCTTACCCATACTCTCCCTCGGTGTTGCTCCGGCCATGTATCCAGCTCTTGGGTCACCTCGAGGAGGAACATGTGAACTTCGCAAGCGCCGTCTGGGTTGGTCTCCCATTGCTGGTGGCTTCTCTTGTGGAAGATCCAAACGCCCAGCTCATCCTGCGCGAGGAATTCGATCCCAATTAGACACCAGCAATCGATCTCTTCTTGTCGTCGCTTACCCGGACGTGGCCATGAACTCCAGCCTCCTCTTGCGCTTCGCGAATTGCAGCGTCTTGTACGCTCTCGTCGACTTCCCATCCTCCCTGTAGAAGCGAGGGATTGGATCGAGTTAGCAGGGAGGAAAATCGCCAAGAAGAGAGAGGGATCCACTTGCCTTGGGGAAGACGATGTTGTGACCATTTTGCGATCTCACCATGAGAATCTCAACCGTGTCACTGTCCTTTTCCCTCCGGTAGGGAATGCATCCAGCCACCATCCTCTGCCCTTGTGCATTGTAGCGATTCTCGGCACCCATGGCGAATCACGTCGACCGATCTAAGAAACTTCGATCGTTTGGAAGTCGTTCGATCTCTAACGGTGTGTGATAGACCTCGCTCGCGCTCTTCTTGGCGGCCCAAATCTCCTCTCTGCGAGTGGAGAGAAGAAAAGAGGAGCGCCGGTTTTTAAGGATGCGGGCGGGCGCGCAAGCAAGCAACTAGATCGCGACCGAGTCTGGTGGCGCGACGAGCTCGGCAGGGAGGAAATTGGGGAGGAAGGGCGGCGAATGCGCTTGAGGAAGGGCGCGAGAAGCCGCGCGATTCACACGTTGGCTGTGAGGATGGAGCAGTGGAGACGCGGAAAAACACGGCCTTGCAGCCTTCTGGATTCCAATCTGTCAAAACGGGTAGAGAAAATGGGAGAAGAAGTCCAGCGAGCGAAAGAAGAAAATCTTTCCACGGGGAAGAAGAAAGAATGGGCTGTAGCGAAGACCAAAGGGCGAGCGATACCTAATTCCCAGCGCTCCAGCGCGTGGATTTAAATACCGGGAGAGGAGAGATCTCTTCCTCCCTTATTGGAAAACACCGACCAGCGAGGGGGGAATCTCGGCGCGAATATTCGTGGCACTGTGGGGCATATTCTCCCCCGCTTGCAGGGGATATTCCCCGCGTCAAGTTGGCGGACAATGGGGGGCCCCGGTGTATCATGTTGTGGGATCATTTGACTCGGCCAAATCTCTTCTGGGTGTGTGAATTATTTTGCTGGGCGCCATGATTTCCAGTGTCTGGAAACCCGGAACAAAGCTCGCGAATTCGGTCTTTGGCTAGCAAACATGATCGATTCGTGTCCTCGCCTTGATTGATTTGGCCCTCCTTTTTTTTTTATCGCTTTGTCCTCCACCGCGAGTGGCGGGACGCGCAACGAGCAGTGCGAGATCACAATTGTGCGTTGTCCATGGCTGGATGGATCCATCTCTTTTGTGGGCTTTGTTTGGAGCGCTCGTCAAAAGGATCCAATTCGAATCCCAATCTCATCGAATCAGACACACCATGATCAGGCCCGAAACACATATCCAGACAAGAAGCTCCTCTCGGAAACCGTACAAAAACTAATCCTCTTCTGCGAAGCGCGCCAGAGCCGGGTCGCTTCGCTCTACAGTGTGTGGCCAGACGTGTCCGGTCGCCCGTGATCTGTTGATCGGGATGCTTTTTAGCGCCTTGTGTTGACCCCACTGTTTGGAGCTTTGTCTCCTCTGCCGGACTCGCAACTCTTCTTTGCGCGCTGTAGCAGTCAAGCCAAAATTATTTGTTTCGCTCTCTCTCTCGCAGGCTCTCCAATTGCCGAGATGACAGCAACCCGAGGTTTTTGGATCTGTGCATCGTCGATGCGCTAGAAACCCCTCTTGGCGCGCCGTAAAGATCAGCTTTGTGCCCACCACTCGCTCGAAAGGCTCTCGTGAAATTGCAGTGCCGAGCACGTTTTTGTTACTTGGGTCTCTCTTTCGATCCTCTTTTCCTCATGGCACGGATCGGGAGGGCCTCCACGGAGTGCTCACCGAGTGATGCCGTGTTTCGCTCAGTGGTATGATCATGGTTTTGTTCTTTGGGGACCTCGCCGCAAATTCCGATTCGAACAGCTCCGTGGTAAACAATTGCGCGCTAGGAATTGTAGCACTTAGAGTTGCACTGTTTGGGCATCTAGGGGGCTGCAAGTCCGTCCACTAAACCCTTCTGGAAGATGGGGCTTAACTTTGTTTTCCCGCGGAACGATGAAGAAAGCAAAGCCTCTTCTCGGCATCGCATGATCCATGGCCCAAGAAACGACGAACTATATCCTTTTTAAAAGTGCAGTTTCATCGGGTGGAAGGTGCGAGGCTCTTGCCTTCTTGAAGATAAACTTCGTCGAATTAATTAGTGAAACCGAGCTTAAGTCAGCAAAGAACTTCCTTGGGCCATCATCAAGTTCAAAATGGGTGGCGAATTATATGTTTGCTCCAAATGCTGACAAACAAACGAAGGATTTTGCCGGTGACCTATGAAGAAACAGTTCAGGCGTCGATGATGAAAGCAAAGCCATTGCATGATCCATGGGCCAAGAAACGACAAACCCTATCCTTTTTAAAAGCGCAGTTTATCGAGTGTCTAAGATGGAAGGTGCGAGGCCATTGCCTTCTGGAAGATAGGCTTCCTTAAATTAATTAGTGAGAACGATCTTTAAGTCAGCAAAGCACTTCATAACAGGGTTTAGGCCATCAAAATGGTGGCGAATTATATGTTTGCTCCAAATGCCGACAGTGGGCATCTGGTGCGTGACAAACAAACGAAGGACGAAGGATTTTGCTGGTGCCCTATCAACTTTGCCAAGAAACAGTTCAAACGTCGCTTAACCACACGTCCACTTCTACCTGTCAATGTAAAAGCGTAAATTAATTCCATGCACATGGACTGGTGGCCAGATTGAAATAGCCGCAAATCAATACTAACCAATCGCTTCTGCCAGCGTGGACTCCAAGAAAGCCCTATTTAGGGCTGCGCTGGCACCCTGGTTTTTCATGCATTGTCTTTTTTGTGGGGATAAGGCCTAGGGATTTTACTATCTCCGGCAAAAAGGCGAGCGCGAGGCTATGGCGGCCGTGGCGGGCAAGTACGCAGGTAAGCGCCATAGCTAGCGCGAGTGTTAAGTCTGTGGATCTGAGCTCTCCCTCTCTCGATTTGGGTTCCCCACAGACGAGCTCATCAAGAATGCCAAGTACATTGCGACCCCGGGCAAGGGCATCCTCGCGGCGGACGAGAGCACAGGCACAATCGGCAAGCGCCTGGCCAGCATCAAGGTCGAGAATGTGGAATCCAACCGGCAGGCGCTGCGCGAGCTCCTCTTCACCGCCCCGGGCGCTCTCCAGTACCTGAGCGGCGTCATCCTCTTCGAGGAGACGCTCTACCAGAAGACCGCGGCGGGCAAGCCGTTCGTGGACGTGCTGCTGGAGAACGGCGTCCTCCCGGGAATCAAGGTGGACAAGGGGACGGTGCCCATCGCCGGTACCAATGGTGAGACCACGACCCAGGGGCTGGACGGCCTCGCGGGACGCTGCGCCGAGTACTACAAGGCCGGTGCCCGGTTCGCCAAGTGGAGGGCGGTGCTAAACATCGGACCCTCGCAGCCGTCGGAGCTGGGGATCCAGGAGAACGCGCAGGGGCTGGCGCGCTACGCCATGATCTGCCAGGAGAACGGCCTCGTCCCCATCGTGGAGCCCGAGATCCTGGTGGACGGATCCCACGACCTCAAGACGTGCGCCAAGGTGACGGAGGTGGTGCTGGCCGCGGTGTACAAGGCGCTGAGCGACCACCACGTCCTGCTCGAGGGGACGCTGCTCAAGCCCAACATGGTGACGCACGGATCCGAGGCGCCCAAGGCGAGCGCGCAGGAGATTGCCGAGGCGACGGTGCTGGCGCTGCGGAGGACGGTCCCGGCGGCGGTGCCCGGGATCATGTTCTTGTCCGGCGGCCAGAGCGAGGTGGAGGCGACCAAGAATCTGGACGCGATGAACAAGCTGGACATCCTCAAGCCGTGGACGCTGTCCTTCTCGTTCGGGCGGGCGCTCCAGCAGAGCACGCTCAAGACGTGGGGTGGCAAGAAGGAGAATGTGGCGGCGGCGCAGAAGGTTTTCCTGGTTCGTGCCAAGGCCAACTCGGACGCGACGCTGGGCAAGTACTCGGGCGAGACCGAGAGTGCCGAGGGGGCGTCGGAGAGCTTGCACGTCAAGGATTACAAGTACTGATCGATCGCTATAGATCCACAACCAGAATGGTGAGCTTGAGGAACTGACGATGTTGCATGAGGATTTTGGTGCTTCTTGCATGCTCTCTACTATCCATCTAATAAAAATGAGATTTTTCTAGTGTTTCTAGCTGCCATTCGTTCGCTTGGGTTGACGCCTCCAAAGGTCAACGTGTTTGACTCAAAAGTAAGTGTTGACCGTTGACAATCTTGTTTGTCAATGATAGACCGTTGAAAGGATATGCGATTTTACATTCGCTAGGGTTCTAGCTCATGGGAAGCGTTGGATTGCCCTCGTCGCCTGTGGCGCTGCGAGGAGATGGAAAGCTGCCGGAGCAGTGCTCCGCGATAGGGGTAAGATTCCGGTCATCTGCGTTTGTGGGAATTGAGATCGCCCAAAGGGGGGATTTGCTCATTGCTCGGGGAGGCAGGAAGTCACTTGTGCGAGAGACGGTGACGAGCGGGAGCCCTCTGAGCAAGGAGGGCATTACCGTCGTGCAAGCGCTCAAGGGCGCCAAGAACGATCAGGAGGAGCTGCGGAGAGTTTTCGCTACACAGGTGTGCCGATTGCTCAAGCGAGATCTTTTGGAAGTTTTGAAGGAACTAGAGCGCCAAAACGAGTGTGATCTCGCATTGAAGGTAAAGTGATCGCGCTCTTTTTTTATTCTCTTCGGTGTTTCATGGGTCACCGCACAGATTTTCGAGGCGATTCGAAGAGAAGAATGGTTCAAGCCCGACTTTCGGCTCTACCGCCGGATGTTTGGAGTGATGTGGGAGAACAACCGAGTGGACGACATGGTCTACGTTTACGAGCAAGTGAAGCGCGATGGAATGGAGCCGGATTTCTTTCTCCACAGGGAACTGATGGTGGCTCACCTCAAGCACGGCAATCCGGTGGCAGCCATGGAGCTGTACGAGCAAGCAAAGGGGATGAAGTTTCAGCTCAACGAGAAAACATACGGGCTCGTCATTCGAGAGCTCCAAGGTTGTGGGAAGATTGAGCTTGCTGCTGCTGTGGAAGAAGATCTTGGTCGAGCCTTCCCAAAGATTTGTAGAACTTAAATTGCTTGTCTTAAAAAAATTTATGAATACTACTACTGATGGTTTGAGAGGAGCTCTTATCCAGCCAGATGCCAACTATATGCAACTTTTCTAATTGCTCCAATCTAGAGCACATGCTCACAAAAGGTGGTGATCTTTCCCAGGTACCATCAGCAATGACCAACTCCTCAGCCTCTTTACAGGTGAATTACCAAACTCAAAAAAAAAAGGAGAAAAAAGAAAAACAGTCTCTCACACTCTCACACACACACACACACACACACACACACACAGAGTGCAATGCTAAGAGAAAGAACTAGCACGGACCTGGAATATGACAAGAAGGCCGAGCAAACCAATTGGAGCTGCTGGAAGCAGCAAGATACTGAAGGTGTTGTGGTCGCCATGTAAAAGATAAATATATCCATTAAATTTAATAAAGAGAACGATAAGAATCCAAAAACCTATGGTTCAGTAAAGCCTAACAGAATCGCCCCCAAACAACACAGAGGAAGAGCAGTTATGGGGTGCTCAAATATGCAGCACACCGCTGCTGCAAGCCCGCCGCAGAGCAGGACCCCAGTCCCAAAGAGTTGCGCTGCATGTATTACATCAGGCGGCACAAGTGGATTCTCGATCCGCAACTTAACACAAGTGGAGTTCTTATCTGCCACACAGAGGCAGTCCCACAATTCGGAGTCTCTAGTCAGACTCACCCAGTCCTGATCCTCGTCGCAGTAGCTGATGGTGAAGTTGGCCATGCGGAGCCTGCTGCTCACCTCCGTCCTGAGGAGACCATAGTTGAGACTGCTGTGATGCACGCTGAAGCGGACAATCTTTTCTCCCATCCTAGCCTTCACGCTGATAAATCCTGATTTGCAAAGCTTCTCCAGCGAGCATGTGTGCGGAGCTTGGCAGCCAGCGCCCGAGCCTTTCATAATACCCTAAGATTCTTAAGTGGAGAGTAAATAAATACTCTCGCTCCCTTTTAAGGAAAAGTTTATTCTGATCACAATTACACCTTGCCGGGGCAGCGGCGGGGCTCACTCTCGCCCAACCAGCGCCACCATTGGTTGTGGCGCACAACCGATCTCTCAAAACACTGGAAATTTAAGAAAGCTGATCCCTGATTTTACGTGGAAAGATAAAAAGATTTGCGTAAGAATGCAAGCTCAAACGAAACGTTGTTTGGACCGCAATGCTAAGGGCATTTGCCGAGAGCCCGCATTTGAGAGAAGCGAGAGAAGTCTTTAAAAGGCCCTACCATCACTCACATTTCATCAATCGTGCTCCAAATATCAGAGGCGTCTTGAGTGTGAAGACATCTTCCTCCTCCTCTCTGGATACTTATACACCTCCAACTGACTCTCCAGCTATATCCAAGTGCATGCATTGCCAATGTGGGAACTAGAGGGGGGGAAAAAGAAAAACGACCTCACCTGCCTTCACCCTGAGCTTGGTTACACACATTTGCTCTGGAAATGCCTGTTCGAATTGCCTGCACCATTACAAGATGCATAGATCCAAAATAAAAGTGGGTTGAGCTCAGGAATCGTGATTTTGGATGAAGATTTTGGTGCTTCTTGCATGCTCTCTACTGCCATTCTTTCCCTTGGACTCGATGGTTTGTAGAGTCAACTTTTAATCATTGGTTTATGGTTCTAGCTGCGTTCGATTGCCCTCGTCGCCTGTGGCGCTGCGGGGCGATGGACGATAGAAGGAGGGATATGCTGATTGCTCGGGATGCAGGAAGTCACTTGTGCGAGAGACAGTGACGAGCCCTCTGAGCAAGGAGGGTGCCAGCGCAGGTAGGCTAAGCAGGTGGTCGATTGCTCAAGCAAGTTCTTTTGGAAGTTTTCAAGGAATTGGAACGCCAAAACGAGTGTGATGTCGCACTGAAGGTAAATTGATTGATCATTCTCTTCTATGTTTCATGTTCGTTTGGATTACCTCGGATTTTTGAGGCGATTCAAAGAGAAGAATGGTTTCGGCCGCTTGAAGTTGGGGGAACCGTGAAGCGCGATGGAATGTGGTCGCTCAGACTTCCAAAAGGCGAGACACAGTAAGTGCCGACTGTTGCCGGGATAGGGGCACCATCCAAAAATCCACAATAGAGGAACATGAATCCGGTGTGGAATTATACCAGCAAGCAAAGAGTTGCCGAGGAGCAAAGTGAGAGCCTTGCTCCATTCTTTGAATAGTTAGGAATATACTTAGAATAAAATTTATATGTTTATTTATCTATTGGTAATTTATAAATATAATTGTTATTTTGTTTAGTGATCAATGTGTAATTTAATTAATAGTTCTCATATTTTTGCTAAGTTGATATAAAGTATTCTAATCATAACAACAAAGAATGAATGTCTTTATGATTCATCTTTTTCTTTTTTTTCTTCTTTTATCAAGCTGAAGAAAAAAGAACACTCCCAAGGGAGGGAAGAAAAGGGGAAATTTGAGGTAATTCCAAACAAAAAATTATAATATATATTTTAACTTGTAAAGTATAGTGAAAATTCCAAATTAAATTTTACTTGACCGTATTATACACTATAATAAACTCTCAGCATTATATACTATATGGTAAATTATCATATAATAACCATGGAACAAAACCTAGCTTTTTGTGTTGAGTTTTAGACCACTAAACTAAGGGACGGAATTAAACTCCTCCATTTACAAGAAATTTATCAAAAATGGATGGTATTTCAGAGTCCTAGCAGCTTGGGAGGCGAAATAAATTATCTTGGACAAGAGCATAAAGACAAGAGATTGTCTTGTGGAACCTTTCATGAGGTACACTCGTCAAGAGGTGGAGGATCTAACAAAGTTGTTGGAATCATCAAACGAAACTACATCTACTTTCCAAAACACGACCAGTGGTTCATAGTTTTCAGATCAAGTCGAGTACCACATCTCCTGTGACATTTCTCTCGAGTTCATCCTGGCAGCTTTCTCTGTCAAGTCGTGCAACCTGGACAAAACTCTAGGAAAGTTCCCGGACAAAGCGGAAGAACTAGCCATACATTCCATGAAGATCATTGCGGAGCATGTTGAGGCTGTGTGTCCTCCGGCGTGCACTACAACATAGTTTCCGACAGTCATGGCTTCTCTGACCTGGGTAAGATTTTCTCAAATGCAATTCCTCGTACAACTTGGTTCTTAGAGTTGTCAGCTATTTGACGTAGTTGGCTCTGATGCAACCGTTGACACCTATGGAGAGATGTTCCGAGAGACGGCACACAATTTGTATCCAGGCTTGATCAGTTTCTATCGACTGGATGACTTTTCGACATGGTTGAAAAGTTGTCAATCTTCAAACACAACTTTGGAGCATCCAGTCAAAACGTTGCTAACTTCGAATGCGGAGACTGCCCGGAGAGCTCTCATGTGCTTGTTTGGAAGCGATGAGTCGTCTATCACAAGACACATCAAAGAGGATCTAGAGACACGGAATCTCTATCGTGGCTTCTCCAGATTTATGTTGGAGGATTTGTACGACCACGAGCCTTGCAAGGCGCTGCCAACGAAGTCTGCAAAGAAGAAGCTATGCAGCAAAGTTGGCTTTTTGATGATCCAGAGGAACCGCGCATACTCGGCAATGGTAGAGTGGTTCCCCTCCAACTACGTATCTCAATCCACCCGTAAGTTGACGAAAAGAGACGATCACCTAGGCCTTACAGCAAGAAAAAAAAATCTGTTTTTTCAGGCATCCCAACAAAGGTGTCAATTTGATCCACCCCTGGTGGCGGCGCAGCGGTCATCCGAGGAGAAGAACTTCCACACTCCAACGCCATGGCACAACGCAGTTGTGGAGCTGGCCAATGGCAAGTTTGTGCTGCTGCATTCCAGAGTGATCCATAGAAGCGGCGAGCTTACGGGCGAGGAGCTCAAGATAAGCGAGGAGACCAAGCCATTACAAACAGGTCAAGTCAATGCGATCGGCTATCCGATTTTGTGCCAGGGCCGAGGAATTGGGAAGGAGGAGGAGGCCAAGAAGCGGGGCGGCAGCAGCTTTGAGCAGGCGCGCGTGTGGTCATTTGATGTGCCGGGCGAGCAACAGGTATGGGATCAAACACTGGAGGAGCTGCCTCCTTGCAAGCACCCCATGGAGATGACAGCCGAGATCACCACCATGAGGAAGAGGAGCTCCATCTGGCATTACTGTTTCATGGCCTCCTCCCGGCCTTCCTCGAGGACGACATTCTTCTCCGGCTGCCCGCGCCCTCGCTCATGAACGCCAGGATGGTGTCGAGGGCCTGGAATGCCAGGCTGAGCAGCCCGGAGCTTCTCGCTAGGCACCGCGACCACCACCACTCTGGCATTTTGTCTCTGCGACTCCTCTAATCAGCTCCGAAAGCCCCGGCTGGCGATCGCGCACGGGCCTCCCATGAGCACCAAGTTCTCGCTGCTCCCGCTCCATGGCTACTGCCCGCAAGACTACAACCTCGAGTATTGTGCTGCTCCACATCCTGGACCGATCTTGTTCTGCTTCTCGTATGGCTGCTGCAGCTCACGCTACCTGGTTGCCAATCCACTGTCGGGTCGCTACACCCAAGTCCATACTCTCATCGAAACCTGCGTAAAGGATTTCAAAACCAAGCTTTCAAGCTTGGTTTTCCTTGCACTCTGGCTGCTTCAAGCTTGTCTTGGTCAGGTGGCTCACCGCCTGGATCTATGATTCCACAACCGACTCGTGGGCCGCGAGAAGCAGCTGCGTCCCTCAACTCTGCGTAGATCGATATTTTGCGTGGGAGAAAGGTGGCGGGGACGTGTCGTATTCGTTCGACTGGGTGTCGGAGCAGCTACCGCGTGCGAGAGGACTCGTGGTCGTACTGGTGGCTTAATGGCGGCGCCGCTTCTTCGCAGACAGCCAAGCCAGTGCACTGCGGAGGGCAGCTGCTGATTGTGACCGGGGCGGGGACGCAAGTGTGCGGGATCAGGCACAGATCTGTGGTGCAGGATAGTGAGACGCTGGAGGTTGACTTGGTGCTCGAGAGTGAGATGCTATCTATGCAGGAGCAACAGCGTGCCGATCGCGATGGCTGGTTTCTATGCTGCACCGACGGGGTTAATACAGTGTGGGTATCTAAGCTGCTGATGAGCTATGAATTAAGCTCTAAGAGTTGGAGGTGGGATCCAAGTGCTGCGTTTGGAGACGGCGAGCTTAAAATCCAAACCAGGAGCATGGTTGAAGCATGGGTCTGATGCAACTTTGCTTTCTCTCTCTTTATTTAGCTAGCGGATCATGGTCGAAAGGGATGCAAGCTTAACTTACTTTCAAGCTGTTCTTAACAAAAGTTCTCATTTTGTATGATTCTCAAGAAGAATTGGATCGTCTTCTGGAGACAAAGCTAGATGCTCGAGAACGCGAAGTTATCCGAAAACTCTTTGGCCTCCGACCGGACACGATTTTCTCATAGCTAAACTTCGAGTTTCCTGGCGCTGGCATGAAACTCTTGATTTTTGGGCTGCGCCGAGAACATCAATAATTCGAGTTCCTTGATGACTGCTTTGAAACAAAACCAGTACTGGTCCTGCACCAGCATGAAATTCAAACAAGAGCTGCTAAAGCAAAGTCAAACTTACATGTGTCTCGACCAATCCACGCCGCTGTTCTCTTAGACGAGCCACAGTCTCGGAAATATTCACCACGCTAAGGTTTCCACCAAGAATGCATCTCAGTACGTGATCGATTGTGATAAAGGTTCCAGCACGGCCAATCCCAGCCCTGTCAAAAAGTCACTCTTGTAAGAAAAAGGAAAAAGGCAAAAGGAAGGAAGAAGTCCAACCTGCAATGGACAAAGTAGGAACAGTCTGAAGGGAGCCTGTAGAGCGCAGCAAACATCTCTTGAATCGGTTCTATCCTTTTGGGGACGCCAAAGTCTGACCACGAGTATTGGAAGTGCTCAAGCGTGAAAGGCTGATAGCCTTGGCATTCCACTCCGAGAATTCGTTTCGTGACTTCGTTGCTGCTGCGCGAGGAGCTCCGGTTCGTTACTGTGATTCTACCATACACCTGCGATTCTCCTGTTCTCAGTGGGAAGTATTCGCTACCCATGTCCTGCGCAAAGTTCTCAGTTGAAACTATACACTATGAAACTGGAACGTGCCTGTGTGAGCTTGACGACTGCTCGGCATTTGCACTGCACGACCATCTCCCAGAAATGGAGTGGTGAATCTGGTTCTCCCCCGCAGATGGCATTCGGAGTGATGAAATTCGCGTTGACAAACTCGGAGCTGCCTTGCAGCACCACCCTGGTGCCGCTGCGGCAATATGGGTGATCACTCGTGGAAGCATGGAGCATTTCATTAGCATGGGCGGTGACGAGCTCCTCTGGAAAGGAAGAACGATCGATAAGAGTTCTCATTATAATCCAAAGACTTACGGTATTCATTCTTGGCTTGCTGGTATGCCTTGTTCTTGAGAGGGACGCACGCTTGGCGACACCATTCCCGCTGCTCAGGCCTCAACCTCAGCTCCATTGCCAGGGTTTACCCTTCCCCAACATTGCCCTTATATACACGGCGTTACCTATCCACGTAGATTCTCAAAGTACCATGGAGCTGCCCTTTTGGAGTACATGCAACTAAGCTTTCTTGCTATGGTTTCGAGGGCTCTAGTATCTAATAGTTTAGCACGTCGATCTCGTGAGCTATTTATAATTGCGAATGATCTTTTGATCCGAAAATCACGGTGCGTTCTTATTCTAACTGTGGTCCAGCCTCGTGAACGGCGAGGCCATCCAACGGCCCATAATAAAGGCCGCATTTTTGGACCCGTATGAAGTATGTTTATCCCATCCAGCAGCTATGGAGCTAGCACTAGGGATTATTAGCAGCCCATCCGCGGCAGCTATGGCGTCTCGCGCTATCGTCTCCAGCTTCACTCGCCTTGGATCCATCCCGCTCGGCCGTCTCTCGTCGAGATCAGGTAACCATTGTGAATCGCTGCTAGATCGAGGAACCTGAGCTTTTGTGCATGTGAATTTAGGTCGAGGAGGCGCGATCCGGAGCTTTGCCGTAGCTGCGGCGGAAGCACCCGTGAAGCCATCGTACGAAGTCCAGCATTCTAAACTCTTTATCGATGGGGAGTTTGTGGACGCTGCCTCTGGTAAGTCTTCCTCTCTGTTTTTTTTTTTTTCTGCAAAGAGACTCAATCGGAGCTTGTCCAGGCGAGACATTCCCGACTGTGGATCCTCGAACCGAGGAAGTCCTTGCCGATGTTGCCAAGGCGGACGTGGAAGATATCAATCGGGCTGTGAAAGCCGCTCGCAAGGCTTTTGATCACGGTCCCTGGCCAAGAATGACGGCTTATGTAAGTTCCTCGTTCCCCTGTTTGTAGAGATGGCGGTTCATGGTTGGCTTTGAGCATTTTTTCTCTTACCATGACATCGTATCGTAGGAAAGATCGAAGATCTTGCTGAAGTATGCCGACCTCCTTGAGAAGCACAACGATGAGCTGGCAACGCTGGATTCTTTGGACAGTGGAAAGCTTTACTCGCAGTCGCAAGGAGTTGAGATTCCTCACTTTGTGACGAGGCTCTTTCGCTACTATGCAGGTAGAGAAAGCTTTTCCCGATGAATGCTTGGTGGTTAAAACTCTCGATCTTGACAGGATGGGCGGATAAAATCCATGGTAAAACACTGCCGGCTGACGGACCACATCAGGTGCTTACATTTCACGAGCCAATTGGTGTAGTCGGCCAGATCATTCCGTGGAACTTTCCCATGGTGATGTTTGCCTGGAAAGTGGCTCCTGCTCTCGCCTGTGGTAATACCATCGTCCTCAAGACCGCCGAACAGACACCGCTCTCGGCCTGTCTCGCAGCAAAACTTGCAGTCGAGGTACTCGTCATGAGCTCTTGGAGATTTTCTTCTTTTTGTTTCTTCATATCAATGGCTGTTCCTTGAAAGGCTGGCTTACCACCGGGAGTTCTTAACGTCGTTTCGGGCTTTGGGGAAACTGCAGGTGCCGCAATCTCGAGCCACATGGACATAGACAAGGTGAGAGCTGGTTAAGCTTGAAGGGTACGTAGTAATCTGTTTTTCTTGCGTGAAGGTTGCTTTCACTGGTTCTACTGAGACCGGCAAGCTCGTAATGCAAGCAGCCGCTAGAAGCAACTTGAAGCCAGTTACTTTGGAATTGGGCGGAAAGTCTCCTTTCATCATCATGCCGGATGCGGATATTGACCAAGCTGTGGAGCTCTCTCACTTTGCTTTGTTCTTCAACCAGGTAAGTGTCCTCTGGTTGATACGAAACAGGCTTTAGCTCCAAGTTTCAACTCAGGGACAATGCTGCTGTGCGGGATCAAGAACGTTCGTTCACGAGAGCATTTATGACGAGTACATTGAGAAGGCGAAAGCTCGTGCATTGAAGCGCGTTGTTGGCGATCCGTTCAAGAGCGGGGTGGAGCAAGGGCCTCAGGTCTGTTTGGTTTCGATAGTGAGTTCTAACTTTCGCTTGTATCTTCTTTATCAGGTTGACAAAGCTCAGTTTGAGAAGATCCTGAGCTACATTGACGTAGGAAGACATGAGGGAGCAAATCTGGTCACTGGCGGCACTCGTATCGGAAACAAAGGATACTACATCCAGCCAACAATCTTCAGTGATGTGAAGGTGAGCCTCTGCTTATTTTCTGTCCTTGGCTAGACGCTCTCTCATTCATGATCATCAGGACGACATGGCGATATCGAGAGACGAGATCTTTGGCCCCGTCCAGGCCGTGACAAAGTTCAGGTATGAACGTAGGAAGTAGTGTAGCTTCACGAACTAAAAATCGGGCGCTTCAGGACCGTGCAAGAAGCCATCGAGAGAGCGAACAACACGACGTATGGCTTAGCCGCGGGAGTGTTCACAAAGGACATCGACACGGCCAACACGTTCAGCCGTGCACTGCGAGTGGGATCCGTGTGGATCAATTGCTACGACGTGTTTGATGCGGCGATTCCCTTTGGCGGCTATAAGATGAGCGGGCAAGGACGAGAGAAGGGCGAGTACGTGCTGCACAACTACACGCAAGTCAAGGCAGTGGTAACGCCGCTCAGGAATCCCGCGTGGCTCTGAAGCTTTCGTCGTTCGAAATATCGATTACTAGAACAAGAAATATTCGGAGTAGTTAGTTTAATTTAGAAATAACACTCTTAATATAATCAAGGAATAATATACTTAAAAACAATATAAATGAATTTTTAAATGGGATAAGTTTTTTTTTTCATTTTATAAACTTTAACAGACTAAAATATGTAGTTTCAAAATTTTAATGAAATAAATTACCGTAATATCTAAAAACTTCTCTCAACCTTAAAGTTTGGTTTTTATTTTGAAAGAAAATATTAATTATCTATTTTAATATGGAGAGAACAGCAAAAAACTTATAATGGAATTAATAAATTTTAATCTTATTTATTAGTAAATTAATTGTTATATTTAAAGATTTTGTGTTTTTATCGTAGTTAATGCTAAATACTAAAAAATTATTTTTAATACAATTCAATTTGAATATATGACATTTAACAGGAAAATGGCGGGAAGTTGCCCTAAAAGGGTAATATGGCGCTCGAGGAAGACAGCCCGAGCTCTGTGTTTGCTACGCCGGGGATCAACATCGCCAAGGAAGGAGCGCTCACTCAAGAATTCTCCTTGTAAGTCTTCTCGCCATTGCGTTCTCACTTCTCCATCGGCGCGTGCTGTTGTCCAGCATCCAGGAGCTCATCTGGTCGGCGCCATACAGGAATCCTTTCCCAAGATGCAGCGATAGGTTTGCTCTTTCCTTCTCTTCGATCTGGTGGAGATTTTACCGATCGCAGAGATTTTGGCAGGGTAATATGGGGTCTCAAGGCCGTCAAGAGCGTTCCTGACCAGGAATCGTGCGTACAATCAGATGCGTTGATGCTCATCGATCTGAGGAGGACTCTTTGCAATCTTCTCAGAACTTCTGGTCGTGGTAAGCAAAAACCTTCCCATGGTTTTTCATATGCTTTTTTTTCCTTCTTCCTAGATGAAGCACATCTGATCAAGGTGGAAAACGATCTCGACAACGTTTTGATGCAGCACATAGCCAGCAGCTGGTAACAAAGTGAACTTCGAGCTTTCTCTGTGACTGATTTGGATCTCTAGGAAGGATGACGCGCATCTACAGTCCCTCGATCGAGACCTCTTGATGGCTGATATCAAAGAGTGCCTGCACCCCATCACCTTTTCCAGGCCCGAATCGGACGCAAGTTCTGTGACTCTGGATGCAAATCCTCCGCAGAAAAATCTCGTCAAGGTTGAACCATCACCAGCAGCGGAGGAACGAGAAGAAACTGTACCACTTCTCTTTGAGAGCGGAGCAATTCCCGCAACAAACTCAAGCGACGAGGCTGAGGAACTTCTGGATGTTGAGATGACCATGACGGCAAGGATGTGCCGAGAACAAGGAGCACCATCGTGGCGCGTAGTGTTTGGTCTCATCAATCATAGCTCCTTCAAGATTGACGTGGATTCTCTGTCCTTCTGGCCCCGGGACCGAATTTCAGACATGACAACGGTGAAGTGGACAAAGGGAGAAGTATCACTGAACGAGAAGCCTGCTTTCATCTGCTACAGCATCAAGAGGCTTTCAGATGGACAAACGGATTCTCCCCACTTTTGCTTTAGCTGGAGCTACAAGTAAGAGAATTCGAAGTTACTCACGAGTTGCTTGTCTGATTCAAAATCTTTACAGGAAATCATCCAAGCATGGCAAGCGAACGAGACTGGAGGTGAGTAGAAAGAAAATATTCAGTCAGAAAAGCATCGAAAGTATTTCGATTTCAGGCGGACGAAGTCTGTGTCTGTCCAATGGGGATGACAAACTCGGATGAATCAGAAGACAGGCTCATCGGAAAGCGCAGAAACCTGTTGAGCTGAACAAGGTTCGTGTTTTTTCAATTTCTAACGTTTCACAGGTACACCTGAGTTTTACTATCTACAGTTTATAATGACTGTTCTAGGAATTAGTAGCAGCTTCCCGCTGGGCCGCTTCGTCCAGATCAGCTAACCATTTTCGTGCGTGTGAGACTCTTTCAATCTGTTAATAGATTTCGATCAAGGTCCCTGAACACAGCTTATGTAAGTTTTTCGTTCCTGACCTCGTAGGAAAGATCGAAGATCTTACTGAGAAATACTTGCTATAGACGGTGGAAAGTTCATTGTGTCTTTCGCTACTATGCAGCTATCTGAATGAATGAATGCTTGATGGTAATAACTTACAGGACGGGCTGACACATGACGTTTGCCTGAAAAGTGCTTACCATCGTCCTCAAAACCGCCGAATTGTTGCCTGTCTACTTGCAATGAGGATTTCTGTTTGGATGGCTATTGTTTGAAGAAAGGCTGTTTTACCACCTGAAGTTCTTACCGCCGTCTACAGCGTGGATACAGACAAGGTAAGAGCTTTTAAAGCTTGACAACTACGTTATAATTTTGTTTTTCTCCCGTGAAGGTTGCTCACTGAAACTGGCAGACTGGTAATTTGCAAGCAGCAGCCTGAAGCAACCTGAAGGACAGTTTCCTTCCATCATGATGAATACTGACCATGCGGTGGAGGTCTCTCGCTTTGCTTCGTCCAATCAGCTAAGCTTTCTGCCTAACATCTAGCTCCAAGTCTCAACTCGGGGACAATGGATCAAGATCATGAGCGTTTGTTCCTCGACAGCATTTTGACGAGTACATTAAGAAAGCGAAGGCTCGTGCCTTGTTGGAAATCCATCCAACAGCAGGAACCTCAGGTCTGTTTCTTAAACTTCCTTTTTCTATCACCCAGTTTGACAAGATCCTGAGCTAAAGACAAGAGGAAGCACTGGTGCCGCCCCGGAAACAAAGGATAGTATACAATTTTCAGTGATGTGAAGGTGAGCCTCTGCTTATTGGCTAGACGCTCTTCCATTCATGATGTTGCGTGAATGCTTCAGAACAACAGGGCGATATCAAGAGACGAGATCTTTGGACCAGTTGGTAACAAAATTCAGGTATGCACGTTGTAACTTTACAAACTAGAAGTCTAAAACTCTGGCGCTCCGTTGATCGCAGGACCGTGCAAGAAGCCACGGAGAGAACGAACAACACCAAGTATGTCTTGGCCGAGGTGTGCGGTGTCTTCACAAAGGACATCGACACGGCCAACTGGGATCCGTGCGGATCAAGTCCAAAGATGAGCGGGCAAGGACGAGAGAAGGGCGAGTACGTCCTCCACAACTACACGCAAGTCAAGGCAGTGGTAACGGCGCTCAGGAATCCCGCATGACTCTGAGGCCCCGGCCGGGAGGAAGCTTAAATCATCGTCCTTGGAGGATGGATTGCGAATCAAAACTAGACATTTTGTGTGCTATGAAGAATTTGTTTATTTGGTGGCACATGTTCTTGGCGTGGAAGGGGGTCACAAGCTGCGTGTGAAGAGCCTCCCTTTCTTGCTTGTGCAAGGAGAAGTGAGGCTTTCTTGCCATGGGAGCTAATCTGGCTGTCGGTGTGCATGGAAGAGGAGAGAGAGAAAGAGGTATACATATACAAAGTGTTTATAAAACTTAGAAATCAAACTCCTCAGACTTTTTGATTGCGTCAAGGAAATCCTATCCAATCCAATCCAAATTCCTAGCAGCAAAAACAAAAGTTGGCGAGTTGCAAACATATACTTTTATTGATGAAAAGTAGTCTCAAGGTACACATTGGCATCTAGTAGTTAAATGGGGAAACTGTTCTTCTCCTCAAATTCCACGTGCATTTTCTAAATACGTAGAGCTGGTTTGTCGGCCATTGCTTGCATGCAATACGTACGCTGGGAAAATATCAATATCCTGCGATGCCTGTAACTTTCTTGACCCGGCGGACTTTTTTCTGCTACTCTAACCAAGGAGAATAAGAAGAAGATCCCAGGCCATCCCATCCCAAAGTTCTATAAGGTATAAGTTTCTAGAGATGCTGTTAGCGAGGAGCTTAACTGTCCTGTTCAAAGTCCACCAGCACACAATGGAGCGAACGTGACGGAAAGATTGCTTGAGACGAGCCATGTATAAAGGTGACGACAAGGATTAGTTTATGCTGCTTGTGTCGGTTTTCATGGCCACAAAAATGCTGCTTTGTCTACCAGGGAGACATGTAAAGTGTTTTGATTAGTATAATATGATATGCGCTTTGGCCGCACATAGCACTAGAAAGCGAAACCCATTTTTGTTCGTATGTGGTGCTCGTTCAGAGTTTTTTCTTTGGCGTGATCTCACCTTATTCTCCAAGTCAATCAAGGCCCTGCAACTTCACTAAAGGACAGTAGTGGCTCCTAAATACTTTGGGAGCAAAGATAGATAAATAGTGAAGAAAAGAAAACTGCTCTAGATTTGGCCTTTGAGTGGTTTTTTTCTGTTTTCTTTGTTCTTGTAGTTGGTGCAAGCAATTTCCCCCTCTTATTCATCAGAGGAGCAGCAGCAGACAGGCACAGGGCGCTGCTGCACCTTCACACAAAAAGACTGTTGCCACTGTCTGTCTCTGTGCATCTGGTGCTGATGTGGATGCTCCAATGTAAGACACATCAACCACAGCTTACAGGGAATTGGATGCAATCTCTGCCATATCAAGTCGATACATATTTCACAGGTATAAGATCGCTGTTCTTCGCCCTGGGATCCTATACGTCTACTCTACAGTATAGGGGCTTCCAAATTGAAGAGAGAGGCGCCAAGGCAATGAGCTGCCATGCAAGGAAATAGAAAGATAAAAGGAAGAAAGAGGGGAAAAAAGGGGGGGAATAATTGTCTGTACAGAGGAAGCTGTACAGTTTGTTTGTTTGCAAACTAAATCTCTTCTCTCCATATACACAATGCAATGTAACTTTGGGGGTGCTTTCTGGTGGCTTTGCTTGGCCCTTTGAAGCTTGAAGCCTACTAACTTAAGTTTGCAAATAATAATCAATACAAACAAACCAAAGCTGCTGCTGTGCAAATTGATGTTTGATATATTGTTGTGCAGCAGCAACATCTGGGCTGAGAGATGCATGCAGGGTCAGGGAATCCCTCACCTCACTGATCTTCACTGCTCATATGTGGGAGACATCATGCTCATTGCAAGTTTTGAAAGCTGTCTGCAAATGTGGCTTTGTCTTAACCTCCATGATCCAACACTCAACCACATGGAGTGGAGTTGATTTCTCAAGGGAAAGATAAGCAAGCAAAGTTGAAAGTGAAAGAAAAAACCTTTCCCCAACTTCATCCATTGTCCCAGTTACAATCATCTCAGCATTGCAGCAAAAGTGGCGATAGGCCCTCTTGTCCCTGCGAGAGCTTGGCTGGTCTATGAAGGCTATGGGTGCACAAACACACAATTGATGCTTGCATGCAACAGCAAAGGATGGAACAGCTCCACAAAATACCAAACCAAAGTCTTGAGTTTAGCCCATAGCACAAGGTAGTTCTTCACTGATTGATGGCTCAATTGATTTGCATTGCTTCCTCTTTCACGTGCAATGATAGGGGCATTTGATGTGTGTGTATGTTTGGTGGCTCACGGCCACTGCAAGCTTTTGCTCTACCTTTCTTGAGAAAAAAGAAAGAAGAAAAAAGATAGTTTTATTTTAATCCAATATTCTTCAGCTTTTAGCCATGTCAACCCCGAGTGGAGGCCGAGGAGGAGAACTAAAAACTTGTTTGGAAGGGTGGGAGGAGACATGAAAATGTGCCCCCAGGAGAGCACCTCTTGTGACTTTGCATTCTTGGGAAGATGAGCGAGCACAGCTGTCGCAGGTAAGCTCTCTAGGCGCAGCGCAAAAGTTCTTCTCTTTCTCCTACTGCTCGGATCTCCGCAAAATTTCGAGCCCCCGAAAAGCAAAAAAGGCAGCAGCGATCTCGAGAGCTTTCAGCACGACACCAGCTCGCCGCTCAATGGCGAAGCTCCGCTTCAAGCTGTCGTCGTCGCAGCGTCACAGCAAGAGCACCAAGCTGCACGGTAAGATGGCAGCCAGCCGTGCCTCTTCTCCTCCCTCCCAGCAGCGGCAGCAGCAGCAAGATCAAGGCCTTCCTCGAATTCCTTACATTCGCTGCGGATTCCTCCAAGGCAAGCCACCAAAGGTACTTCCCACCAGTACCGACGAGCAGCACAAGCTGCCCCAGTCCCCCGTCAACAGGAAAGCTGCGGACATCACATTCCCTGCCCGGCCTGGAGCCTCTGTTCCCGTTACTCCTCTTCCAAAGAAGTGGCTCACACTCGGCTGTGATCCTTGCAAGCAGCACACGAGCCTGATGCACGAAGATTACAAGCTTTCGGTTGCTGCTATCCACCGTCCGGAACTGTATGACAATGCTGGTAGCCGGGTGCGGCAAAGAAGGCGAAAGCATCGATCGAAGCTCGGCACTTCCTCGTCTTCTGTCACGCCTGTTACTTGTTCACCCGTTGCCGACGAAGCTCGATTCCCAGCCTCTTCTTCCTCTCCAGCAGCAGTGCACAACCGAGAAGACTGGCAGCCGGAGATGCGCTGGAAGGTGGTGGCCAGATCTGAGAACAAAGTAGTTCAGAGACAGGTTGTCCTCCAGAAGAAGCTATCCGTCTCGTCGTCGCTCAAGCAGCAGCAGCCGCAGCAGCAGGAATCCAAGTTGAAGAAGATGATGATGAGTGACGCCGGTTTTGCAACACTGGCCGAAAGTCCCATAGCAAACTTCAAGCCCGGAACAGAAGAAGCCATGTACAAACTGATGACCACGTCTCCCGACCAGAGCATGGAGAACGACACCTCTTACGCCTGGGAAAAGGATCTGTCGCCGTTCGCAAGCGAGAGTAGCATCTTCAACTCATTCGACTCTCCCAACAATCTCAACAGGTCCGCTGGCAACAGGATTTGTGTCTCTCCGCAGCACAGGAAAACTCTTATGTCCTCGAGGTGCCTCGGCAGTAACAGCAGCGGCAGTAGCAGTGGTAGCGGCGTCTTCAAACTAGTGTCCCCTGGTAGTGAGCGAAGGCAGTCCCGGTTCCATTGGTCAGTATCACCACCACTGGCACCGGGTCAATTCGATGACCACCAAGCTTTTCACAACGATCCGGAAGCTTTATCTAAGGCATGGGAAAGGTCCCGGTTTTGTCTATCCGCTGATGAAGAGGCAGGTGAACAAGGCGTCCAGGCACATTACCGCACTGAGCTTGAGAGTCCACCAATCCACCTGAGCATTGAAGAACATGACACCAACAGGCTGAAAAGAACGGAGCTAAGTCAAGCATTTACCAGCAGAGTAATGGAGAGCTTTGCTGTCGAGAAAGCGTCGGTTAACCCTTACAGGGACTTCAGAGAATCCATGGTGGAGATGATCCTCAAAAAGGATCTCTTCCACTGCCGGGACCTTGAGGAGCTGCTCCGAACGTACTTGATGCTCAATAACGAGAAGTTTCACGATCTCATTATCCGGGTGTTCACCGATCTTTGGCACCAGCTCTACTCGAACAACAGCTCATAGTTCTTAACCAGCCGCCTGCCAACTTCTTGGCATGTACAAACGACGGATCAAAAAAATGTCATTTCTGGTTTATTGCTCTCGCTCGAATGAACTGCTGGGATAGTATAGTATCAGACCAGGAAAGAGAGCAGAAAAGATCAGGGTTTACTTGTAAAGCTCAAGTTGCCTTGAGACGGAGTATTTCCCAGACCGTTCTCCTTCTAAAGTATTCCATGTCCCCCTGTTTGTATCCAGTTTATACACAAGGACAATCAAAATCCATATCGAAAGTACCTGCGTGAAAGGGAGAGAGCTCCCACGACTGTAGAAGTCCGCATACTTGATCATGAACATGCCGCAATCACACCTGCAGCAGCAGAAACATAAACAAACGATTTGAGAGTGATGAAGCTTGCATACCCGTTTTCCTGACCGGGTATGTCCTCCGGATACTCTTTCCCCCACCCACTGACATCTATAGATTTTCCAAGCTTATCTTTCGCTTCATCCGCAATGTAATTGCTCTATAAAGAAACGCTTTAGAACGTGAAAGACGGGCATGGGTACTTACCAACACCTCCAACACATCTTCGTCAATCCCACTGAGAGAATCGAGATACTCAAACTTCTGGTCCCGAATGTTGATAATGGCCAGGCACCAGTGAATATCTTTGTGAATGGGAACAAAAATCTGCAAGAGGCAAATAAGCAAACGCATAAATAAAGGGAATAAATGCCACACCTTATCGCAATCAAGTAGGCTGTATCCTAGTTTCTTCTGTGTTGTCCAACGTCTAACTGCCTTATAGTCATATTTCTCCTTGTCTTTGAAGAGCTTAACGAGTAAACCAAATGTAAGTTTCTTTCTTTTCCAAGACTGGCTTACTTTGTTGTAGAAGAAAGTATTGAAGAAATGACACCGCAAAAATTTTTTGGGCTCTCGAATCTCCCTCTCCTTCAGCAATTCCATGTACAAATTGATCACCTGTTATTAAAGCAACTTGTAAACAGTGCTGAAGAAAACGAAAAAGTAGCAACATTACCTCGTCATTGAGCCAGGTGCCAGGGCGCAAACACTCCATGACAGCTCCAGTGATTTCAATATTTGATTGCTCATGCATCACGAGGACCTTTTGCCTGATGCACAGAGAGATTAATGCATTTAAGAAATAGAAAAACTAACGTGACTCGCACCTGCTTTTACTGTAAAGCGCACTTTCGACTGCCCTCTCTTCTTCATCCGACAGCCTCGTGAAGGCATCACTCTGCAATCACCCCGATATGAAATCGCTAGAATATAAAACTAGAAGACCAATCAAGCTTACCACGTCGGGCTTCTGCTGTTTCTTGAGAAGTTGACGCTTCTTCTTGTCTGACTCCTCCCACAACTTCCCTTTTGTGACGTGAAGTTCTTTGAGCTTGTTCGCCGTGAGTGTCGCCTCCCGATCAATTTGTTCTGCTGGACTTGACTTCGTGCCATTGTAAATCTCCAGCCATTTCGGAATCTGGGACGAACTACTAGAACCAGCTCCAGCACCATCACTAGTACTAGCACCACAGCCCATGGAAAACGTCGTAGGACCCTTCTGAAGATTACTGCTTGCCTTACTCGCGGGCGTCCCAGCCGCGACTCTCCTAGCGTAGTCCTCCACCTCCCGGTTCTTGGGTGTCGATCGAACCGTATAGTTTCGCTTCACCACATGATCGTTTCGCCATTCGTCGTCAATGGCTTTCAATCCCATTCGCTGGCTCACAATATCCCTCACAACATCCACCGTGATGAGCTTAATCATGCGCTTGTCCAGCCTCTCCAGCGTCGCCATGTCGCAATTTCGCTTGAAGAGCGACCTGGAAGGACGCAGGCCGTGCATGCTGAGGCTGCGCCTGCGGTATTCCATCTCGATCCCCAGCTGCCCTACTTCCAAGCAGCATGAATCACTCACAGGGCGACGGCGGCTCCTCCATTTCTCTCCACCGCGATCGCCATCGCCATCGCCAGCGCCAGCGCCACCGCCGGGACGAACGAAAATGCCCGGTACCCAGAACCCTAGCTTGATTTGAAAACGGCCAGGTTCGAATCCTGCAAGGGTGAAACGCATCGGCGCATATTCCTTGCGCGCGAGATTTGCGGGCGCGGGGGGCCATTTTGAATTTCAAATCTGGGTAACTGGCGCAAGAAAGCGCCTGTTGAATCCATTCTGGCTGCTCTTGCTATCTTGTTCGAGCCTTTGTTGGGCTCCATTTTCTCTTGGATTCGCGCCCATTTCACTCCAATGGAGGCACTCCAGCAGCAGCAGCGGCTTCGAGACGATCAGATGGGGAAAAAAGGGGCATCGTCTTCGGCCACGCTCAACCTGAGCAATTCGCCCAATTCCCAGCACCCAAAGTACGCGGTCATGGTCCGCGACGCCATCGTCTCCACCAAGCAGCGCAAGGGGGCTAGTGCGCTGAGCATTGCCAAGGCGATCCAGAGCAAGCACAAGGGCCAGCTCCCCGACAACTTCCGCAAGATGCTCACGCTCCAGCTCCGCAAGCTCGTCCGCTCCGGCCGGATCGTCAAGGACCAGTCCAAGTTCCGATGCACGCCCTGGTTCAAGAAGAATCCCCAAGCATCCCTCGTCAAGCAGACCGAGGAGCCGCAGCCATCTAGACGTCGCCGGCCAAGAACCAGAGCGCCATCAAGCCAGAAGAAGAGGACAAGATCTTGCGGCCCGAAGAAGCCCAGAAACACAAAGAGACCGCGACGATCACAATCGACTAGAAAGATCTCACCAGTGAAAAAATCAAACAAGAAGAAACTTAAGACGAGGAAGACAAAGAGGAGCAGTCAGCAAGAGCGGCGGTCCAGGTCGAGGGCGAGGGCGATGTCACGGTCAAAGTCAAGGTCAAAGTCGCGACGACCAGCGCTGGGGCGCAAGCGCAACAAAGCCGCCAAGAAGAAGCCGGCGGCAAAGAGGCACAGGAATATTCGCAAGCGCGGACGCTACTGATCACAGCAAGATTCCTCCGGTCCTCTTCTCTAGGACTGGAATTTTACAAATTGGAATAAAACGAAGCTATCGCCCATGGAAAAATCGCGATCGCACGGGAGAGTGTTTGACTGGGCCGAATAGTGTCGGTTGACTGGAAGGTGTAAACAAACAACCAACCAACCACCATTAAACAATCTTGAAAGTCAAAGGCTGTTTTTGTTGTTAGTTGGTGTTGGGTGGGCAAAACAAAAAGCCACAAGGAGAGAAAAAAGCGAGGCAAAACAACCAACTCCCTCACGCTTCTAGAGCTTTTTGACCCACGGTTGCGTTTTATCTCTGTGTGGGATAATTCCGTTTTTTTTTTTTTTTTTGTCACACCACCATGAGATCTATAGCTGCAAGGATTTCACTCAACTCAATCGATTGATCGAGAGATGTCTATACAAGTCGAGTACAAAATGTGGTGGTATCTTCTACTTTTCTCTCACTGTACACCACCATGATCTCATTGATGATCGCATCCATGCCTTCCTCCTGAGGAATCAAGCAAGAGTAGATTTTGTTAGCGTTTTCGCGATAGCTACGGGTACCTGTCCAGGAATTGTGGGACAAACTTGCGAGATCCATGAGCCGCTCAGTGCTAGTAGTCCCACTCCTTGAAACAAATAAAGAACATCTGTTGTGTGGAAAACGATGATGTTGTGAGCGATCGATCAAACTTTATGTTTGAACAAACCTTTCGTTTTTACAAGTCGTGTTGGTCGGGCTTGTCATGGATCTTGGCGCCGGTCGCCCACCACGGAATCCCGGAGCTACTCCTCGTCTCGAGCCGGGGAGGAGCGCTGCTCGCGGCGGGGCCGAGAAACTGTTCCCAGAAGCCATTGTTCATGCCAACACCCACGGCACCACTGTCGACGCTGGCATTCACCTCTCCCAGCAGCTTGAACGCGCTCGTCCCTCCAACATTGTCGGAGCTCCCGCTGGTTGCTAGCGAGCTCGTCGCATGATCCCGATCGGCGCCACCACCACCACCACCACCACCACCCCCGCCACCCTCGACGTCGAGTGACGTAGTGGCCATGCCATTGTCAAGATCCTTGGCTTCCAAGGACAGATCCAGCGGCGGTGTTGCTGGAACGTCGATCGGAGATCGATCGCTCACGTCCGTCACCACTGTAGCTCCCATGGACAGCCGCTCCTCGAGAGAGATTGGCAATGCCTGCATCTCCGTCAGCGTTGCTCGCGTCTGCCTCTCCGTCTCCTCGTCCTCGGGAAGAAGCTCGCGGACCAGGACCTCGAGCGGGACGACCTCGAGCTTGGACGCCAGGTCGGGCTTGCTGAAGAACTCGACCAGCCGGGCGCGAGTGGATTCGTTGGACGGATCGTAGCGCACGAGCTGTCCATCGAGCTCGACGTCGTCCCGGTCGTGATCGCACAGCTCCAACTTTCTTCGCTTGCCTGGTAGATACGCGCCGCCGCCGCTGCCACCTTCGACGCTGGCGTGTTGGTGGACGAGGCTGGAAAGGAATCCGGGGTTTTGGATCGCCTTGGCCATGAAGGAGATCATGTGTTGCTGCCTTTGCTCGGTTCCGTGGAGCCTTTGTCCCATCACCTGGAGGTCCCGCTCGGTTTGCTGCTGCTGCTGCCTCAATCGGACTAGCTCCAGCATGAGCACATTCTTGTCGCGGTTGAGCCTGTCAACTTCGCCTTCCAGTCCCAGCTTTCCAACCTCGGTGGATTGCCCCGGCTGGTGTTGCGAGTGGCCTTGGCTCGTCGGCTTCTTCCTGTGGATGTTCTTGAGGAGATGCCTCTCACCTCGACGAAATCCTTCGTTGGCGAACTCGCAGCGGTCGGGATCCACCTTGCGAAATCCCTGTAGAGCACAGTGCGCTGGTAAAGTCAGATAAAATCAAAGCTGGAAAAATGGAAGAATTGCGCAGGGGAGAGGAGAGAGAACTCACATAGGTGTTGAGCTGCCGGACGAAGCTGGAGAAGTTGTTGTGCTTGAAGTACTTGGGCAGCAAATCCCGCGAGAAATCCAGCGGGTTCCACACCACGAAGCTGTTGCCTTTGCCCGTCCACGAGACGATGGCATCCGAGTCCGGATCGTCGATCATATCATACGTTTTGGTGAGGAATGGGGGAGGAGCAGCGCTGGAGAGGGCGGCGTCCGGTTGCAATTGCTGGCCATTCTGCTGCTGGCTCGGGAGGATCATGGAGCTGGAGGACGAGGGCGAATTCATGGCACGCCGCTTGTTATCAGATCCCGTCGGTGACAGCGCTTGAGCATTGTGGACGTAGACCACCTCTACCATGGATTCTGGGCCGTGGGCGATTGTGATTCTTCTCTAGCTACCAACAATTACGCTCTAGCCTATAGGGAGGAGATCAAAATTAACGCAATGGCGATCCCGCGAGTGCCCACAGTTTGCTCTAACCTGGTCGCTCGCCGCCATAGCCACAAATCAAAGAAAAGAATGAAAGCCCTCTTTTTTTGGGTCTAAATGCACAGGTGTCCTTAACGCGGTTTAAAAGACTTTGCGTGCCGTCGACGATTCCCAGAATATGCGTATTTTCAAATTCTGGTCAAAATCGTGGCGTTGATTAAATGGGTGTGGGATCTCACGGGCATATTCTCCTCTCCATGGCTGACTAGGGTTCTTGGAGTCGAGGTAAGCTTCGGCCTGTTTTCGATCGAATTTCCAGCTGCTGGGTCTCTGATTGAAGGAGTATGCTCGAGGCATGGATTGATTCCGGCAATCTCATGGCTCGCGCGCTTCCTCCAAACGGTGGCGTCCTCTCCTCGTCGCGATTGCCAATCCCCAAGCAGCTGTTTGCGGCGCCCAGCATTCTTTTTACGAGGGCTTCGGTGAGATTTTCGTCCCCAAAATTCGTGGTTGCTGCCGCTCAACCACGAGGAGGAGACGACAAGAGCTCTGCCAGTAGCTCATCCTCATCGACAAGCCTATCGCCCAAGGACGAGTATAGCGAGAGCGTGAACGAGGAGCTCCTCTATTTCTTGTTCCAGCTCGACTTGGCGACGCGACTCCAGGTAAACAAAAATCAAACACTTGGAAAGTTTTCAAAGCGGTTGATTCTTGGCTGGTTTTTTCTCTTGTTCGCAGCGTGCCTTGAATCAAGACCACTATGATGCCGCTCAAGCCATTCGTGAGAAGATCAGCCAGGTGATGTTCTCCGTTTGTTACGTGGAAGCTCTAGATGGTAAAAAGCTACTAGGTTCACAGGTCGAGAAAGAGGTTTCCAAACTACGCGAGAAGAAAGCCGGCGCGGTTTCAGCCAAGAACGAAGCTCAAGACAAAGAGATCGCGCTGCTTCGTTTCAGGTGATATAGCTTAGTATCGTAAAGGACACTCTTTGCTAACTTGTTTGGGACGTGCAGGAGCGAGCTTTCCGCTTCCATAGAGAGAGAGGACTACGAAGGTGCCAGGCAGCTGAAAGATAAGATCTCCAAACTCGAGGTATTTGAGATGGATTCAGTTGTTTGTTTTCGTTTCTATTCTTTCATGTTCAGTCAGAATCGCTAGCAGCATCCGTAAGAGCTCTGGCTTACCAGAATGTGAAGTACGCATTTCGTCTTGGCCAGAAGGTCCGGCACAAGCTGTTTGGTGAGTCTTTGTTGACTTTTTCTGGTTTTGGCTGAGAGAGCTCGTTAAGCACAGGTTATAGAGGAGTTGTTTGCGGAATGGATCCAGTGTGCTGTGAGTCGGAGAAATGGTGCGACAGGGCCAGAGTCTACGATCAGCGAAAGAACCAGCCCTTTTACCAGGTTAATCTCCTTCACTCCTCCAAGGCCTCGAGTAAATGAGCTTATGAATGTCGGATCAACAGGTGCTTGTCGATGTTGAGAGCGAACCTCAGCAGGAAGCAGCATATGGTGCGGTTCCTGTTTTTGTTTTTTCTGAAGTTTGATAAGTAAAACTTGATGCAGTTGCGGAGGACAGCTTGGAAGCTCCTGCTGAACCCGACATGGTAAGAAAAACTCCCTTTTTATATGTTTTTTTCACATATGGTTCTCAGGAAGCTTTGGATCATCCATACATCTATTTCCTGTTCTTTGGAATGGATTCCGCTGGTGACTACATTCCAACAAAGCAGCTCCGGCAAAAGTACGATGTGGCAAGGCACGAGCAAACAAATGACGCGTAGCCTGCCTCGTGCTCGGCAAGAATATGAAGAAGAAAAGCAAGACCTTTTCGTTTTTAGCGCCTTTTCTTCTTCACGTCCTTGCTGCTCTTGGGGAGCTCGAAGGCCTCGAGCAGCTCCACATCGAAAAACAGAGTTGCGTTTGGAAGGATGAAGCAGCTTGGAGCAGTGGGCTTTGCTGGTGGATTGGAGCTCTTGCCGGGGTTGAAGTAGCTCTTAAGCAGCGTCAGGAGCGGCTTTCCTTTCTTGCACCCCACGCCTTCCTCGCCGAACGCCATGCTCGCTGGAATCTGCAACAATCTCCTACCACCTAAACAAGTCACAGGGAAACGTATGATCTCAGGAAAAACTCGAGAGAGTGCTCCACCTGGTTGCATGGGAGGTATGCCATTTCCTCCAAGAATTCCTCGATCCCATCCATCAATCACCTGAAGTTGTCAAAGCTAGAAAGGAAGTTTTCTCAAAAGGAAGGAGCAGTAGAATCAAACCTCTCCAACTCCAAGTCTGAATTCAAGCGGCCTGTTGAATGTGTAGCTGCTCTCAAACTGAGTTCCATCCTCACGCTTGCCTGTGTAGTGAACCTGCGCTCACTACTCAAGAAAATGAAAGAAAGAACGAAGAAGAAAACCAACCTTGACATAGCTGCCATTGACAACAGGATTTCCCACTCCAACTCTTGTGTCACAGAATCCAAGCCCTGAATCCAAAACCGTCAGCTTTGGCTCCTCCTCCGCAGCTACAGCCCAAGAACTCAAAAACGAGGGTGCTGAATTGCAGAAAATGGTAGCAAGCACCACCCTTGCTGCTGCTTCTCTTCGAAGAAATCTGGAACCATCCTCTCTACTGCAGCAAACACGAGTGCTTCTCGAGCTGCAAGTGTTGCTAGTGTTTGAACTAGAGTGTGCTGCCACTGCCACTGCTCGAAAATGGAGGCCACTTACCGCCATAGCCATACCTTGAACTGATAAAATAGGAGCTTTGCTTTCTCATTTTCAAAGGCAAGAGGATGGAGCGATAAGAAAGCCGGATACTTTGATTTTCATTCTGAAACTAAGCTTGCTTGACGGAAGCCCTGGCGAAGAACTCGGATATAACCGAGAGCGACATGCCTCTCAACAGCGGGTTCTCGTCCATGTTTCCGACCATTCCACCGTCCGACCGTTAGCCATTCCACTGTGGTGTCTTCTGCCAACCCTTAGCCTTTTAAAAGCTTTTATGGGATTTTCCTTGGATTTCGGGTGAAGAAATCTGGAATCATCCTCTCTACTGCAGCACACATGAGTGCTTAGTGTTGCTAGTGTGTGTTTGAACTAGAGTAGGCTGCAAGGCCACTTATCGCCATAACCATACCTCGAACTGATAAAACAGGAGCTTTGCGTTCTCATTTCAAAGGCAAGAGAGGATGGAGAAATAAGAAATCCAGTACTTTACTTTTTCAGAATTCTGAAACTAAGCTTGCTTGACGGAAGCCATGGCGAAGAACTCGGATATAACTTCGAGCGGCATGCCTTTGGTCTCTGGGACTTTAAGGTAGACAAAAACCCAGGAGCAAAGCACCACGAGCGAGAAGAGGCCGAAGATACCGCCCACGCCGATGGCCTGGAGCAGCGTGGGGAACAAGTTAGTGATGAGGATGTTGCACGTCCAAAACGCCGTCTGGCACAGCCCGATGCAAACGCCGCGGACTCGGGTCGGGAAGATCTCGGAGCAGATAATGTTTGGGATGGCTCCGAAGCCCATCACGAATGTGCAGATGTAGATGAGCACGCCACCGAAGGATCCCGCGGCCTGGACGACGCCTTGCGACAGCAGTAAGTTGGAGGTGGCGATGGTGATGAGAGCCACTAAAAGAATTGGCAGAGTCACCAGTAACAATTGCCTGTACAAGAGAAAGAGTGTTTGTATCAGCTAGAACAAAGCATGTAATAGCTTGACGCTACCTGCGTCCTGCTCGATCCATGATCTTCATCGCGAAGATGATACAAGGTAGCGTCAAGAGCGAGCTGAAAGTGCTGGCGAGGATGGAGGCCGAGTTTGTGCCGAGGCCGAGGCTGGTAAGTAACGCCGAGGCACCAGACTGTGACAAGATCTGTGGTACAAAAGCCTGAACCGCGTTGATGCCACTGAACTGGAAATGGAAGAAAAGGAAACCCGCTCGTCAGCGATGGATCGAAAACACTTACGTACCTGTTGTAGGACTTGCAAGAGAATGCCGACAGTGAGAGCTCTCCGGACGCCAATCTCGAGCAAGTCGGACCATGCAACGCCTTGGACGGCGGTCTCGGCGGGATGGACCATTGCTGGACCGACCGGATGCTCGTCCTCCATGTGTTTTGAGTATTGCGATGCCTGCGTGACCAGTGCTGCCGCTTGGATAGCTTCTATTTCCTCTCCGTGAGGCAAAGATATGGACGAAAATCCCTGCGGATGCTGCTGCTGTTGGTGTTGATCGGCTTGGTGCTGGAGCAAAAACACCCTCTTGAACTGTCCGTGATCGTCTGGATTGTTTTCCTGGCCTTCGGTTCCCGTCCACTGCCATGCAAGTTGCCACCCCCCGCCAATGCCTACGCTAGCTATGGATTCCGGGACGCTCGCGGCTATGCTGTACGCACTCTGCCTTCCATACATGCTCGACTCGTTCGCGTCCTTGCTGCCTCTCGGGAAGTTTATGTTTTGCCTGCTCGTGTTGTCGTGATAGTGGTGGTCCGCGAAACTCCCCTGGCTCGGCCTCGGATCACGAGGAGTTCCTGCGATGGACCACGGCGACGCATCAAACTTCCCGCTCCTGGCTGGGTTCAAGAGCGGCGTGCTCAGGTTCTCGTCCAGATTTCCGACCATTCCATCGTCCGACTGGTAGCCATTCCCCTGTGGTGTCTTCGGTCCCTCGTCTTGGTCCCAGTTGTCGTGCATGAGCTCAGACTGTGGCTCGGGGAGGTGGTCGTGAGTGCTCCGAAACGTTCCAAAGACCGCCGGAACAACAGGGAGGTGGTCGTGCGTGCTGTTGTGCATGCTTCCAAACAGCGTCACCACCGGATCCCTGAGCGACGAAACCATGCTCGCTCGCCGCGAGAGGAATCCACCACCACCCCCGGTTGCAGACGTAGCTATCCACGAAACGTTCCCTTCCTGCATCATCTTGGAGTTACCCCGGAAGCTCCCAAGCTTCAACGACGCTGTGGACCCCCCGAGCTCCACCGGCTTGAGTTGCCATTCTTCCAGCGTTGTCTCACCGATGTTCAAACCTTCTACTAGAAGCGCAAGCTCGGCTGAAAGCAAGACAAGAAACAAATCAATCAACCATCACAAAACAACACCGATATCTTCTACCTGTGACGTCTTTCGTGTTCCGCAGCCTCTGTAGCACTTTCTTAGCTTCCACCATCCGCCCTTTACTCACGAGCCATCTCGGAGACTCGGGTATGTAGAAGAGCGCGAGAGTGAAGTTCACCATAGCCGGGACAAAGAGCATTCCCAGCATGTATCTCCACATCGGGTGGTGACTTAGCGACATGAGGAAGACGAGAACGTAGGAAAGGAACTGGCCGGTTGATCCCATGAGCTGCGGGAACGTGAGAAGCTGGCCACGGTTCTCGGTGGGAGCAATCTCCGCAATGTACATGGGAGCGATGGTGGTGATCAGTCCGACCCCGGCACCGAGCAGCAGCCTGGCCAGGAGGAGCACGTAGATGTTTGGAGTCCAGGCCATGATACACGAGCTCGTCACGAAGATGATGGAGGAGATGAAGAGAATTTTCTGCCTGCCATATCTATCGGCTGCTGCTCCAGCACAAAGTGTGCTACACCATGCTCCCGCGAGGCTGGCGGCCACCACCAGGCCTTCCATGGTAGCGCTCAAATGTAGCTCGGGCTTGAAATACAAGAGAGCTCCTGCGAGAGAGGAAAAAAAGTACCAACCGATCATGGTTAGATCACATAGATCACAAAGAAGTTTTTATTTTCTTGCTACCTCCAATGGCTCCTGTGTCCCATCCTTGGAGCATGTTGACGACGGTGGCGGCGAGAGCCACCAGTGTCGCTGGCTGCATTGCGAGAGATTGGATCCAATCGTCGGTAGCTTGGTAGAGCAAATCGCGTGGAATTTTTCCAGAGCTTGGATGGATGGATCAATCTCCCCTGTACAGTTCCACGAGATCAAGAGAAAACCATTCCCGATTTTGGACGGATGGATGAAATTCACAAGCCAGAGTGAGGAGAAATCTGTGAAGGAAAAGCTCTAGGAATTTCTACCTCGTTATGGCCGCGCACAAACCCTCCATTGTAGCCACCCGTCGCGATGCGCCATTAGAGCTCCGCGCTCCAATCTCCCAATCCCCACGCTTCCAAGGGTTGGCAGGGAAGCGCCATGAAGAGGAGAGATTTTTTTCCTTCGCTTGCTTGCTCTTTCTCTAGCCGTACGGGTTTGGCGCCCGGAGAGATGGGCCGTGGCCAAAACTTGCCCCCAAAACGATAGCCGTACGGGGTGGCCAAAACTTACCCCGACGCAAACGACAAATTACCAGCCATGTGAGTGACAATAAGGGCATATGCCGCGAACACCTAGGACTAAAAGAGAAGAATCTCACGAGAGGTCCATGGAGCCATCAAGAATTTTTTGGCATGGTTTTTTTTTTTTTTTTGTCAAAGAGCCATGGCTGGCCCGCTAAAGTCGATGATGAGATGTCTGCTTCGCGAGCAAACACGCCCTCTATGACAAGAATGCTATACAAAAATTAACAGTCTGTGGCGATCAAGCTTAAAAATTGTTGGGAGATTGATTTAGCTGAGATGGCTGCAGCAGTGGAAGACACGGAGACCATGATCATATCACGCTGCACCACTGCGATCTCCAGAAAGAATATCAATGTTTTATCGTCAATGAATGATACAAACTTACAGCCTCGCGCTAGAGCCACTTTAGTAGCTCTGGAGAAGCTCGTGTTCGTCGTATCTCGGCTGAGATGGTTGCGGTGGTAGCGGGCACGAATTCATGCCTGCCAGGCTCTCGATCAACACAGAGTCGGCGATCACATCGCCCTTGTCTTGGTTCCGGTGCCATTGCCACCGTGCCAATGAACTGTTGATGATCTCCAAGCTTCCGTATCCGAAACTCGGCTCTCGGTAAACGGACGTCTCTGGCTTGGGAATCACTTGAAACCTTCAAAACAAGAAAACTAGTCTAGTGTAGCTCAAATTATGTGAGACTTACCTTTCAGCAGGCCCTTCACGGTTGCCTCCATCGCCAATTGTAATGTAGACGGGAGCACACTCGTCCTCCTCGTAAAGGTATAAACGTTTCTACGAGAGACAAAAGGATCCAGTCAGTTAAGCGGTACAAGTAACGAGAGAAATGCTACTTACAAATCGTTCGTAAGCGTGGACGTGGCCAGAAAATATCGCATCCACTCTGTACTTTCTGGCAAAATATTCCACTGCTGATCTGACAACTTCACCTTCCATGTAGTGCGCGTTGTAAGTGTTGTACCAAGGGACGTGTGTGATTATGATCACCCATGGCGTTACAGATCGATCAACATGCTCCAAGTCGGACTGATTATATCAAGCAAACATCAGGACTGCGCGAAGAAAACTCTGAAACGAAAGCTATAACAAACCAGAAGCCAGTTATACTGGGGCGTGTACTTTGTTATCCCAACGTAGGAATTGAGTGAGATGATGTGAACCGGCCCAACGTTGAGAGAGTAGTAAATAGCTGCGACAGCACCACAAGATTGCCAGGGTGCCGAGAATCGTGTATTTGGAGACAGAAAACCGTCGTGTGGCTTGACAGCGTCCTGGTGATCAAAGTTAAAACCCTTGAGAAACAGTATTCCCTTGAAAGATCACTTACAACAGCGTTGTCGAATTCTATTTCATGGTTGCCGTAGGCGAAAACCATTGGAACTTTGCTCGTGTATCTCGTCATGAAACGCCCCCAGGTATCCCATCTCGGCTGATAGCCATCCGCGTAGGAGAAATCACCCACGTTTAGCAGATACTGGGCGCCAGACTGCTCGATGTGGCTCAGTGTCACATTCGAAGAGTAAGTCTGCCCAAGATCACCTTACAAAACAAAACAGACATATTTTTCAGAAGAAAAAAAAGTATCAAAACCAAATCTTCGAGACTCACCAACGATGGCGAACTTGATCGAAGAGTCTGGTC